CATAGTGTCTAACTCTCGGAGTTGTTGGAAGATTAACTGTTAACACCAATAAATCAGTTAGACCCAGGGTAAGAGAAGAACACAGAATAAATGCTGAAGAAATGTTATACAGCTGCTATTATTTAGTTACTATTATCCACAATACAAGACAGGACAGATATTATTTTTTTTTTTTTTTTGAGACAGAGTCTCACTTTGTTGGCCCAGGCTAGAGTGGAGTGCGTGGCGTCAGCCTGCTCACAGGCAACTCAACTCCTGGCTCAAGCGATCCTCCTGCCTCAGCCTCCGAGTAGCTGGGACTACAGGCATGCGCCACCATGCCCTGGCTAATTTTTTTGTAATAACTTAGTTGGCATTAATTTCTTTCTATTTGGTAGAGACGGGTCTCGCTCAGGGCTGTTTCGAACTCCTGACCTTGAGCAATCCCGCCGCCTCGGCCTCCAAAAGTGCTAGGATACAGGCGTGAGCCACTGCGCCCGGCCCAGATACATTTTTGAGACAGAGTCTCACTGTGCCGGGCTAGAGTGAGTGCCGGTGCGTCAGCCTCGCTCACAGCAACCTCCAACACTCCTGGGCTCTAGCGATCCTCCTGCCTCAGCCCCGAGTAGCGGGACTACAGGCATCGCACCAACGCCCGGCTCATTTTTATTATATTTTTAGTTGTCCAGCTAATTTCTTTCATTTTTAGTAGAGACGGGGTCCCGTTTCTTGCTCAGGCTGGTCGATAATCCGATGACTCGACCTCGAGAGCGATCCTCCCGCCTCGGCCTCCCAGAGTGCTAGGGTTACAGGCGGGAGCCACCGCCAGGACAGATACACTGAAGCCCAAAGTTCTCTGCTGGAAGGCGGCTCTCTTTTGCACGTAGAGACTTTACCTTTTGCCGAGGCTGGTCAGGAGCAGAAACCACTAACTGTGTTACAAATTCTCAACGCGATAAAGAAGTCGGCGATGTACAAAGTCTCCAGCGGTAATCTGGACGGTCTCATCCAGCGAGGTAAAGAGCTGAGGTGTAATCTGACTGAATTTGTTCCAAAAAAGCCTGGGGCGTGGGACCACATCTGTTTCCTGAAGATCCAATAACACAGAGTGTTGTTATGACATAAATACATTGAGGATTTTTAAATACTAATAACAAAATTGGGGTTTTAAATTAACATGAGAAGTACCTTCCTTAAGCAAGATCTAAGGAAGCATGAGCTGGTAAACTTATCTATTCGAGAAAAGATTTCCATGTATAATGGTGTCAATGAGAGAACAGAAAAAATAAAAAAAAACCATAAAAATAAATGGAGCCCGGGCTGGTGGCTCACGCCTGTCATCCCTTGCACTTGGAAGGCCGAGGTGGGAGATCGCTCCAAGGTCAGGAGTTCGAGACCAGCCTGAGCGAGAGCGACCCGTCTCCTGCTAAAATAGAAAGAAATTAATCGACACACTAAAAAATAACATAGAAAAAAAAATTAGCCGGGCATGGTGGGCGTGCACGTAGTCCCAGCTATCGGGGCTGAGCAGGAGGATGGTGAAGCCCAGGAGTTGGAGTTGCTGTGAGCGTAGGCTGACCCACGGCACTCCTCTAGGCCCAGGACCAACGGAGTGAGACTCTGTACTCAAAAATAAATAATAAAATAAATAATATAAAATAAATGAAAATCTGGATATACATTATTTAATTGGAAGTTACCTGACTATTAATGAAACATGGCAGCAATAGCTCTCCGACCAATCTAGTTGAATTAAGTGTGCTCTCATTTTGAAAACACCGATGCCAGAAATAGATAATTTTATTATGCTTGGAATTCTCCCTGGATCATCCAGAAATTCATCCACCAGCAACCGTGTTCCGACTCTCCTTTTAAAAAGAAGGGCACCATTCACACCGTGCTAGCTGCAATTTGTCGTCTCTCTTTTTTTTTTTATCTTTTTTTTTTTTTGAGACACCAGTCTCACTGTTGCTCGAGCTAGAGTGCCTGTGGCGTCCAGCCCTGCGCTCCAGCACCCTCAAACTCTGGGCTCACAGCGATCCTCCTGGCCTCAGGCCCTCCCGAGTAGCTGGGACTACATACAGGCATGCACTCCATGCCCAGGCTAATTATTTTTTCTAAAATATAATTTTTAGTTGGCCAATTAATTTCTTTCTATTTTTAAGTACAGACGGGCGGTCTCGCTCTTGCTCAGCCGCTGGTTCGAACTCCTGACCCTCACCCCTCGCGCGAGCGACTCCTCCCGATCGGCTCAGAGAGCTAGGATGACAGGCGGTGAGCCACCGCTCGCCATGCCCTGTGTGGGTCTCTAATAGGCAGAGGAAGCACAGTGGGCCTGGCTCTGGCGTGGTTGCCAAAAGCTGTTCCTTTCATGGCACACTGGGGCGTGGAAGGTGCCAGGCGGGCGTCGGGACTATACGATGGGCTTGACTGAGGCAGCCTGCCATAGGAGCTGGCACGTCCCGGCTCCTTTTCCACTTCCCACAGCACCCGGAGCTCCGCGGCTGCTCGGGGCATGATCCAGGCCGTGGGCCTCGCAGCGCAGTCTGGGTGTACGCATCAATTGCGGTGGGCCCTCGGCGCCCATTCCATTTCAGAGGGCTATCTGGAGCGCCTAACCTCCTTGGCTGAGGCAATCACAACTGAGTCATCATCTTGGGGAGCTAGGTGCATTCTTCACAGCTACCCTTCCCCCTCCCGCCTCTCAACCCGGTGCCCCCCCCGCCATGGAGCTGCCTCACTTCTGAGGCAGATGGGGATCTCCTATTTTTTTTGTCCAAACCATCATGTCGGGCGAGGTGGCTCACCTTCCACCTCTGGGGGCGAGGTGGAGTGCTCCGGGTCACGGCAGTATGACACTGCCGCACCGTTTAAATATAAGAAATAAAAATATCGGCCAAGTAAATATATATATAAAAAAAAATTAGCCGGGCATGGTGGGCATGCTGTAGTCCAGCTTACTCCAAGAGGGAGCTGAGGCAGGAGGATTGCTTGAGGCTGGGAGTTCAAGCCAGCCTAAGGAAAGAGACAGACTCTGTCTCTATACAAAAAAAAACAGAAAAATTAGCCAGGCGTGATGGTGGGCAACTGTAGTCCAGCTCCTCGGAGGAGGCATGAGGCAGGAGGATCGTTGAGGCCAAGGAAGTTGGAGGTTGCTGTGAGCTAGGCTGACGCCACGGCACTCGAGCCCGGGCAACAGATGAGACTGTCTCAAAAAAAAAAATCTACCAACTTACCTTCACCTGCACCACACGTCTGTCTTCCCTTCTGCTACCAGGATGAAATGTCCTTTCCATGATTCAAACGCCCAGGCTCTCATCCCAGTGACCTCCCCCCCTCTGAGCCCGCAGTGACTTTCCTTAGAGGATTCTTCCCCCTCCTTCAATCACGTTACGCCCAACGTCCTCTGCGAACCATTTCATCGACTCTCTCCCTGTCCTCTCCAACTGACGCTGCTGCTCTGCCTGGGTCCCCGGCGAGCGCCATGTGCCAAAATCTGACGCCTCCACGTCTGTCCTCCGTCGTGTGGGGCCTTGGTAATATAATCCAGCACGGGCGACCTTCTTTCTTTCTTGAAAATGCTCTTTCAATTCTTCGGATGCCCACTTAAACTGGGTTCTCTCTTCCATGAACAGGTGCTTCTTGGTTCTCCTGCGCCTTTTCATTCAGCTCAATATGGAGCTCCTTTCTCCTCCAACGACACTTCCTTGGTGATATCAATCCCATTCCCAAATCTTTGAAATTAAATATCTTTATTTTTTTTTTCTGCAGCTGAGTCTCACTGTGTTGTTCAGGCTCGAGTGCCGTGCGTCAGCTGCTCACAGCACCTCCAACTCCTGGGCTCAAGCGATCCTCCTGCTCAGCCTCCGAGTAGCTGGGACTACAAAGGCATGCGCCATATGCTGGCTATTTTTTCTAATATAATATTTAGTTGGCCAATTCATTTCTTTTCTATTTTTAGTAACAGACGGGGGTCTCGCGTCTTGCTCAGGCTGGTTTTCGAACCTCCTGACCTTAAAAGAGCGATCCTCCCGCCTTGGCCTCCAAGTGGCTTGGGCAACGACAGACGTGAACCAACTGCGGCCGGCCAAAATTACCCATGTTTTTACAATAAAATAAACTCAAATAATCTGCCCCATCTCAGCAAAAATAATTTGCCCCATCTCACAAAAAATGTTGCAGGGAGTCATGCGTAATCTTAAAACAGTTTCTAAAATTAGATTCTGCAGCCAATCCTCTTGAGTCCTCCAGGGTCCCCTGTTTCTAGGGATCAAAAAAGATATCCTCATCGGATCTTATAATGGCACAGCAAAGAGGTAATTTGGCCTAAAAATGTCAATAGGCTGAGGCCGGTGAATTCTTGACTAACTCAAGAAATTACTGAAAAATTACAATAGCATTTTAAAAAAGTAGAGTACAGTCCTTTATCCATGGGAGATATAAGGACCCTAGAGTGATGCCTAAAGCAATGGATAGCTACAGAACTACATCATACAATTTGTATATACATATAACATATGATAGAGTTTTACTTTATAAATTGGGCACAGTAAGAAGATTAACAATAATAATAGAATAATTATAACAATATACTGTAAAAAAAAATTATAAACGACTGTGGTCTCTCTCTCTCTTTCTCCAAAATAATCTTACCTGTACTGTACCATGGGGTAACTGAAACTCTGGAGACAGAACCTCGGATAAGTGGAAAACTTCAAAAAGCACATATAGCACATGAGGCCTATACTTAATGATCGTGGCAACTTCTCCAGGGCGCACGCTTTAGAGAAGCCAGTCCATCCGGTGCAACCTGTGTCACATTAGTAAACATCCGCTGGTAGGCCTCCGGCCGCGGGCTATTACTGTCACGTCAGGCGGCGCACAACTTGCTCCAATAAGTAGAAGCTGGAAAAAAAAGCAACCAATGGAGAATGGAATGCATGAAGACCACGGACCTGACTCAACCGTCCCATTAATCACTTGTGAAGAGTTAGCGAGAAGTAAATAATAAAAGAACGGTAGGGAGTTACAAAGCGTGACTTCAGCAAAAACAAAGCTAACCGAGGCCTATTTCTAGCCAGTGAGAAAAAAATCATTATAAAAAACTGGGCCATAGACCAAATAAAAGTTTCCGTATCTTATTGATAAGAAACCAACGTACACCCAAATGGCAATAAAGACTTCCTAATCTTTCCTCTTAAAGTAGGTTCTAATTAGTTCGCCAGGAATGGCCTCAATGTGGGGTCAAGAACGCTCATTGGCCTCACAAGAGAAAATATACAAATGTCTGGGTTCTTTTCTTTGCCTGAAGGTGGTCACTACGGGTTTGGTACCCCCACGAAATTATCTACTTCATTTCTCTCCTTAATTTAATCCACAGCCCACCACAACTCCTAGTAATGCCTTCCTTCCCATTTCCCCCTTCTTGCAAATGCGCTGGTATGCACCTCGATGACAGCCTGTTAGCGTAGGTGCGTTGATTGAGTAACTACCGAAGTGGAATTAGTCTAATGGATCCAAAAAAAAAAGTTTATCCACCACTTTCATGTGTTTTCAGCCAGACCGAAAGCTACAATAATCCAAAGTTTTATTGTGTTTTCCTCCACCGTCTCATCTCTCTCATCTTGGCTTGGCTTTAAATGTTGACCTAACCCCACCTTCGCACATTGCCGGCCGACTGAAGGGACCATGGGAAAAGAGGTTTAAAGACAGAGAACCATGGGGAACAGAGAGAATGTACACGCCTTTCGATTTGAGGTTGTTTCCCATCAAGCATTGGTGGTTCCGCTAAAAATGAAACACCCTCATCCCCTTCCTCGCATTAGCGAATAAGAAGTTTTTTGTCCTGCCATAATAAATAATATATGTCAGCACGCTCTTTGGAAGGTGCAAAAAATCGGGCGCTCCCAATGTTGACTGAAAACCAAAAAACAATAATGGAAACAAAGAACGTTGAGCATTTGATCTTGTGAAGCAATTCATGTGGTACTTTTATGTTTACGCACCCATGCCAAGCACCGCCAGACCGCACGGACGTTCTTAAGAGACAGGCCTATTTCTAAATTTTAACAACCAATAAATTACGGC